TAAGAGCTCCGGCACGTTTGCCTCTCTTACGGCGTCTTCCTCTCTTGACCAGAAATAGGACCGAGTCCACGGCAGAAACTAAAAAAACTGGTAATAAATCCTTAGGAGTGGTAGCTCTAATGTTTAGAAGCTCTTCACGGGAGTAAGAGCACGCAGACGCACAATTAACTAACAAAAACAGACAAAACAGGGTGCACGAGAGGACCAGGGCGACCGTTGTGTGAACAACAATAAATTTCGTTTAAAACAGCTCTAGACAATTTCTTTTTTGAAAGTGCAGCCTTGAAAACAATAATAAATACATAACAAAATAGTAATAAAACATATGACAGTATATTTACAATTCTAACATTAATTTTAAAAATTAATATAAAAAAATTACAGAAAGCCATAGCTATCGATTTTTAACTTTTAGATACAATTGCAAGTGAATACTGAATATGCTTAGAGAAACAATCTCTGTAAATAAGACAAGAACCACTAGTAACAGCTTCTCTTTTTTCGATTTACAATATATACCTCTGAAGGTAGTAGCCTATACCAAGACATTAAATGTTGAGAGGTTCTTTAACATATTAACCCTTACCTCCCAAATAACAAAACATCTTTAGGGAAAAGGGCATGGTAAAATTAAATGTAATTTAAAACAGGAAATATAAAATTTGTACATCAATATTAGATAATATTAGATAGTTTTGAATAACAGAGATATAGTGAGGAAAACCTTTAGCCATCTCTATTACAGATATAGGAGAAACCTATCCTTAAGATATTGCTTGTGGTCATGAGTTGCCTTCTGAAATTATTTTCTAAGATAGAAACATCTATTTAAAAAAAAAATGTTTTTAATTTATGTTACTATGCGTAATGTAATCACGGCAATATCTTTCTACATTAGCTAAGTGTCAGTCTGCTTTCTTTCAATGGTTAACCTGCAAAAACATCTTGCTTTCTGTTCTATGAAAGCCACATATGCCAGACGCATTCTCTCTAGCAATGTTTCATAGAGTTTTGAATGGATTTTTTTTTTTGTTAGAGTGGATACATTTCTGTATGTGCTTTTAACAGACTTTGTGAAAAGTTAAAGTGGTTTTGATAATCAGTAAGAAAGAATATAAGCAAGTCATTTTCAACCAGCTGGTGGCAGCAGCAGCATGCTGCTTAGAGGTTTGTTACACTGCTGCCCACCGATGGGAAAATGGTCTGAAATTACTAAGAGACTAAACTAATAACTTAAAGTTATGATGCAATTTAAAGGTGATATAGTAAGACCATGACAAATAATTGTAGAAATAATTTCCTTTCCTTGATTATAATACAGCTTCCCCATAACCAATCCTGACAGTTTAACTTTAACGAATAAAGACAATAAGACACTCTGTGATAGATAATCATTTGAGAAATGTTAGAGCACGTTTTAGGAACAGGCTTATTTTCTATAGATTCTTTTTGCTCTGAACTTTCTACAGATGTTATGTTTTGAACATTTAACTTTTTTAATGCTGGGTGTTAATATTTTGTAGATCCTAAACTTTTTTTTTTTTTTTTTACTTTTTTTACAACAAAGTGAGCAGCAATTTTATGTAATGAATGTGTGTAAATCTCTTTATGGTTATTTTTTCCCCGTAATAACGTGCAATGATTTAATTTCATATATAGCTGTTCTAAACAAAATTTACTTTTGTTTACACTCGTGTATACAAAATGACAAAATAAATCTAAGTATAAGTCTAATTTCATATATTTATTTATGAGTACTAATTTTCTATTTACTAACTTTGCAATATTTTCACTCAATCTATTTCACCTGCAAGGCCATAGGTTGAAGCTTGGTTGTTACTGAGGCCACGTTTTTTTTTTGTTTGATCAAAATTATGACCAGTAACGATTGGATTACGGAGATATTAAATAAATTTTTAGACATGCAGAATGGTTATTTTAGATAGGAGTAATTTCATTTTGGATATATGAAAGTACCGGCCCAATACACATGAATGGGGAAAAGTGACGTCATCTGTATTAGTAAGAATTACATTTCAGATATCTGAAATGTTTATTTTAGAAAAGAGGGATACCATTAAAGATATCTGAAATACACACAAATATATGTTAAAACGGCCACTTAAAATAAGAAAAGATTTGTAGATATCTGAAATTTAGTTCTTAATAGTAAACATTTGATTCCAGAATACTTAAAATTTTATTTCTACAGGTAGAAATGTAAGTAGTGATATCTATAATAAAATGCTGACTAGGAACATTGTTATTGTGACTAGGTAAAATACATTAGTGCTTTCTATAATAGAAATGTGACCAGTCAGCCTGCCTATTTTATGTTAAAATGGAGCCTCATTATTCTTTTAAAAGTATCTAAAACTACATTTTAGACAGGCATTATTAAAAATTTGATCTCTGGAATTCTAATTTAACTAGTCATAAAATAAGTAGTTAATAACTGTTATTATATTTCTTTTAGGAGAAATATATTTTAGATGTCAAGAATCGGATTTCTGGACATCTGTAATGTTATATTCATTTTTTATATCTGAAATAGTAATTTTGACCAGCAGTAACTTTGTTATTGAGATATGATATTAAAATTCATCCTCGTCAGAATTCATTTGTAGATAGGAAGAATGTTTGCTTTAGATAGGAAGAATCTTATAGTAGATATCTGGAAGTAAAAGCCCAATACACAGGAATAGGAAATTTGACATCATTTATACTAGTAAGAATTACATTTCAGATATCAGAAATGAATCTGTTAGATAGGAATAATTTTATTTTAGATATCTGAAATGTTCATTTTGACTAGGAAGAAATGCATTATAGACATCTGGATTACATATATTCAGTCAAGTTAATAAATGTCAAAATGGCCTGCCATACAACCCTGCAAACAACCAGGTAATAACCTTCAAGCAGGTGGTGCCACTCAATACTAAATTGAGCTGAACCGACATAAATCACAGGCAAACTTACTAAATGATTGAGACTAAGCTGTACCACTTTTTATTCACTGGATTGCTTTACAAGTTGCTGTGACGTCACCAACCGCCATATTAGTACTCCCTAGTTAGATTGGTCGGAATGTAAACAATACGAGCGGTGCAGTGCCGAACAAAAATGATGTTCCCATTTTTTTGAGGACTTAAGACTTTTGAAATAAAAATAAATTCATCAATTGGACAAACACTTGTTGTTTCATAGCATCAGTAGATGGTAAAAAATAAAAACTAAAAAAGACATTGCATCTTTAGTATGAAGTCTATTAGGTGTATAAATCATGTAATATAACATATTATACAAATCCATCACAACAAATGATTTTGTTAATGGAGCACAATAATCCTGCACTTATTAAGATATTAAGAATTTTACACATACACACACACTCTGATGATGTGCCAAAAGTGCTAAATTGATGATGTACATGTAATATACATGTGCTGATAGCATTCTTATGTTAATTATGTTACATTACAGGGATTTTTTTTTATGTCGCGACTCCATAAGAGTGGGAGTACACAGTTTAAGGTAGGTGGCTTCAGTTTTTTCAGCCTAACACCAATCTAGTGAATACAGATCAGTAAGCTGTACTCACTGAGGTACTGATTTTGTATGATCAAATTGGATAGACAGCTTATATTGATTCTTTCTCCATTTATAGCGAATTTATGACTGAAATATTTTTATGTGTTTAAAGTAATGAAGTGTGAAAGTTGAGTTGTGTGTTTTCTGAAATCTGAACCCTAAGAAGCAGTGTAATGAGATGATGAAAACATTTTCTAAACAGCTCATGAGTAAAGAACATTAAGTTCAGCAAGACAAGTTAGACAATCAAATCTATCCTATCGTTGCCCAGTGTAATGAGCTTAAGTCAATCCTATTAAATATGAGACCAAAAGGGACACAGCAGACACATGTTTATGTTTAAAATTCTTCTGACTCATTATAATTTCAGGCTTTTCCACTATCAATTATTTAGACCTTATAGGTTATAAAATAATTTTCTTACCTCCACTGAACAAAAAACATCAGAATCCACGAGTCATGGAAATAGGTAAATAGACATTCAGAAAGCCAGAAATTTAAATGTTGTTACTTGATTCTAAACATGTATTATCCCAGATTTGATCAACTGCTGAGGGTTTGTTGTGGGAAAAAGGTGTTAAACCATACAGTCTAGTCAAATAAACGGGGATTGATGAATTTCACTCAGTCAGCAATTTATTTTACTTTGCAAAGTAAAAAGAGAACAAGACATCAACAGCTCTCACAGAATGATGTTTCTGCCCTGTTCTCATCTACACAGAATTTGTCTCACTTACTTAAAATAATGGAATTGCTGTGAAAGTTGTCAGTCAAAATAAATTCTGGACACATGTGACACTTATGAATAAACCTTGAGAAAGAACATGGCTTGTTATGGGAATTGTACTTCTTGTCCAGAACATTCCTCTAACTGAGACTTTGTGGCCTTGCAGGTGAAATAGACTGAGTGAAAATATTTTTAAGTTAGTAAATAGAAAATTAGTACTCATAAATCAATATATGAAATCTAGGAAATGGATCCGGTGTGAGACAGTTATAGAGCATGAGAAAGTAGAACAGGTAGAAAATAGTAAGACCAACAGACACCAGTAGAACATATTAAAGCTCAACTTTTATTGGGTCAGAACGTTCAGATTGTAACAGCAGCTGTGAGGCATCAGGACCATCAGATCTCCTCATGGTATCTGTGTTCAATGATGCTCAGTCATTGGACAGAATCACAGAGTGCCGACAGAGATGATGTTGATATTTCTGAAACATATTCATCTAAAAGCATGAACTTAATCAGTACAGCAGAACTTAAATTACCTTATGCAAAGCTTTAAATTCAATCTAATTTCCTATAACTGAATGTCACGGTCTTGGTTCTGTTAAGTTTTCTTTTGAGTAATCAGTTTTACTTTGCCCCAGCTGTTCTAGTTTTATTGGTTTTATTCCTATTTTGGTGCGTTTTCTGGATATATTTGCGTTGTTAAGTTTTTTCTTTGTTGCTCTCCCTCTTGTGTTGGTCTCCTTTTTTCCTAGCTCCTTCTAGAATCCTCTGTTCACACCTGCTCCCAATCAGCTTGTTAGTTCTGTCTTTGTTCAGTCAGCCATAAATGCTCTCCCTGTGCAGTTCATCTGTGCTGGTTCCTCATCTTTCCCTGGCTGCTTGTGAATGTTTTCCCTGATGTCTCAATGTTTTGTTTTTTACATTTTTATGCTGGATTCTTGCCTCTGTTGCCTGTAAGAACTCAATTAAAACTAGAATAACTCACCTCTGCCTCTTCGCCTTTGTATTTGGGTCCTTTAAAAAACCACAACCGAAACCTGACAGAAGGAACCAGCACTGAAGAACTGTGCAGGGAGAGAATTTATGGCTGACTGAACAAAGACAGAACTAACAAGCTGATTGCAACAAAATAAGAATAAAACCAATAAAACTAGAAAACATGGAGAAAAATAAAACAGAACCAAGACTGTGACACTAAAGGTTTTTCAGCCCGTTTTTTTCCCCAACTCTTTCAGTTGTGAATCTGATCTGTGCACATCGGTGCTGATGTTTAAATCATCCAAAAACCTAACCAATATATCCCTGCCCCATATTGTAATGCTGTCTGATTAGTATCAGTATTTTTTTTTTTTTTATAGAATTAAGAACTACCTGGTGGAGTTCACAGGAAGACTGGATCAGTTGGGACTTTTAAAGATTCAGAGGAATATTTAATGTTTTTTTTTCTCTCCCACTTAGGAAAATGTTGTAGTAGACTATTTATCAAAATGTATGAACATATGTTGTGTTTTTCAACCAAGAAGTCTAGAATTACTGCAGATGAAATAACACATGCTGCTGGGTAACTAGTTTACAATATCTAAACTGGTAAAGAGATTGCTCTATTAACGCAGAAGCAGATAAAGTTAATGAGGGTTACTCTATTAAAGGAGAAGCTACTGGCCAAATAGGAAGGTGTTGAGCTGTTAAAGAGGTATTGGACCAGGAGATCCAGCTGGTCTCATATGTCACAAATATCCAACTTCAGGATTGGCTGATAGCTGTCAGACATGCTGGCCCTGATAATCAAATCGCCCGCTTTGTAGGTCAGACTGGGCCCACTGGCTTTCCCTCTGACAAAGTTGACCTCCTCGCCGTAGTACATCTCATCGTAGAGACCCTTGTCACACTGCTTGTCTTTGCTGAATAGTCCAATGGCATAATAGTTGGAGTAGAAGGTGAAGTCGTAGGGATTCGAGAACATGACAGCCAGCCGGTCTTTCTCCTGAATTGGTGAGCCAAGGATGTCAAAGGTGAGGATCGCTACTGAACCACAGGCTGTGTTGGCTGTCTTTTTAAAGAGTGCAGTGCCAGACATAGATGGACCAAGAAATGGAGAGAAAGGAGACTCACAGTTCCCACTGATGAGATAGGCGCTGGACAGAAACACAAAGAGCTTTAACTTCACTGAAAACCAACCTGCTGCACAGAGTTTAATAGTCTACATCTACATTACATCCACATCAACCCTCTGTGTGGTTTAGGTTTCCAATTGTGAGAGTGACTGTTTTAAAACTCACCACGGTTCACACAGCGTGAAGCGGGATGTCAAGTTCTGAATCTCCACTGTACACTGGCGGTTTGTTAGAGACATTTTCAGAACCTGTTGAAGGAAAAACATGGAAATTTTCAGGTACAAGAAAAATTTATGGGCTTTTATGTAGTGGTGATGCTAGAACAAATTTATTTAACATAATTGGTATGTGATATAATTGTTTGTTTTTTTATGGTGAAAAAAAAAGAAGTTAATGTCATTTTCACACCTGTAAAGCAGGTAGACGGGTATTAATTGGGGATCATACTGGCAATATTGTTAATATTTTCCTCTGGTGAAGTTTGTTATCACAAGGCACTTTGTAAAACCAAAACAAATTTTTTATCCCCTCGCGGTTGGTCAACAACCCAAACTACTCCCTTGACAACGAAAACAAAAACAACATGGTATGGCAGCAGATTCTAGCAGTGGAACTGCTATGCTGTCTTTTGGCAGGTTTGCCAAATAAGTATCTTTTAACAATGGGCTCAACATGAAAAAAAAAAACAATGGCAGACATCCGCAAAGACTTTTAAAAAAAATATTTAATCTCTAACGTTCTGCTCTCTCTGCTTTTTATTGCACTGATGTCAAGACTACACAGATGTCCAGCAAGATGTTTTTCAAAGATATTAATAACTTAATTTGAATTATGGCATTCACATCTCTATTTGTACCGTGTCAGGCTTCACTTCAACCAAGCTAGGACCTAGGTTTGGAGGCAGACCTGAGCCTGAGTTTGCTTTCATGGTTTGCATCAGAGTTCGACTTTCATACCTTCCTAAAGAAACCTAACCTTCTGGGCAAACGAACTGTGGTTTGAATAAAGCAGAGTGAACAGGGCTGCTGTGAATACACCCTAAAATCAGGGCAATAGTTAATTGTTTGATATTTCAGGTGAGCCAAAGAGACACCTTCAAATGAAACTGCAAAAGTAAAAAAAAAGATATACTTATCTATCTATCTATCTGTCTGTCTGTCTGTCTGTCTGTCTGTCTGTCTGTACAGTGTATACCCTGTATACCGGCGGTTTTCAAAGTGTGATGCGCGCCTCCCCTAGGAGGCGCAAGAGCACCTTAGGGGAGGCGCGGTGCGAGGGAAAAAATAAATATGGATTTAGGACAAAGTTGGAACTGTGGGGTGCGCGTGTGGAGCGGGGATCAGTGGAAATGTTTCCCAACTTAGAGGATGTTTTGGCCAGAGCGGGGCTGAAGGTGGAGTTTTTACAGCAGGCTGTCTGCGTGCATTTGTAGGAGATGCGCCAGCAGTTTGGAGAGTATTTTGGAGAGGAGACAATGGTAGTCCATGAGAAACCAATG